AGGCCTTTCAACCAACCCTTGGGACTTTGCATCCATTGTAGTAGCCTCCAAACAGTGTCCAGAGGTAAAAGGCCCAGCTTGTTGTGTAAGCGTTGTAGGACCATTGAGAAACTTTGCAATGATATAATGGAACTGCGCATCATTGAGCATAACAGTATAGTGCGGAAACAGTTAGAACACTCTAGGAGTATAAACCAGACCACTACTAGAATGACAGTCTTAAGAGTACGTGGACATGAACATATGAAGAGGATAAATAAGTCGTTACCTAATGTAACTATAACATTAGAGCCTGGTGTATCCATAATTACTACCTTTAGCAGTATTCAGTATAAATATATAATGAATAGTGTTACTTAGAAGTCTAAGCCTGAGGACACTTCTTGATTTTGCCTTCTCCTTAACCACTCTGTCTTGGACCCAAACGCCTAAATGTAACATCAAACTACATGTTAAAATATGGTGGTAATGACAGGATACACTGCCTAGAAAGTCATGGCAGCAGTGAACATGAGAAAAAAGACGTGTCTGGAGGAGAAAAGAATTACAAAAATCACTTTTTTCAAGAAATTGTTGGAAGAGCTTTAGGATCCTCTCCTATCCAGAAAAGCCATAGAGCTAAACAGCAGCTGTGAAGGAAACATCTCTGAATAGAAAATTCCTAGAGAGGAACCACCAGGACACCAACAATCTCAAGAAGCTTTTTACAGCAAGTAATAGGGGAAACAAGTTTTTATAAAAACAGTGACAGCAGCAAAAGCCCACTAGCAGCTAAGGGGATTAAATCAAATTGAGTACCTGTATAAAATGGTCAATCAACAGACACCAATAGCAGATTCAATCCATCAAGGGAAAGGACAGGAATTTTTTTGTCTCCACCAGAAACCCAGGTTGAAGATCACGGTTAAGACCTCTAACAGTGAAGTAACAACTTTCTGAACTATTTACTCAGCAATGAAGTTAACAACAGCAAGTTACGATTATTTGTCAGGTGCAGGCTTAAAGAACATACAATTGAGAAAGATAAAAATTGGAATAAGAATTGTTATTGTAATTCCAAGTGTCAAAGCCCTAACAGTACAGTTAGTGAAATCTATATTATTTCAAAAATTCAGACAACAACTTCAAAAGTTTGGTAGTCAAGTTAGAATTTTTGAGTTTATCCATTTAAAAAATAAAAATATGAAAATTCAGTAAAAGTAAAAAACACAAATCTGATCACCTGCTGTCTAATTCGGGACAAAAACAATAAAACTCAGTGAAAATGACATCAATAGACAGTTTTAATACTGTCCAAAAAATTATTGAACGTTTTCAGAGAAGCCATTTTAATAAGGTTTTACCCACAGATCTTTGAAAATACTCCAGTTATTTTGGAAAAGGAATATCTTTATTCATCTCTATGAAGAAAGCCATACTGGTAAAAGGAAAATCAAACTTTACATTGACAACAGCATTTAGAGTCACAGGGTCATACAGCATAGAAACAGACGCTTCAGTCCAACTCGTCCATGCCAACCAGATACCAAAACTAATCTAGTCCCATTTGCCAGCATTTGGCCCATATCTCTCTAAACCCTACCTATTCATGTGCCCATCCAGGTGCCTTTTAAATGTTGTAATTGTACCAACCTCGACCACTTTCTCTGGCAGCTTATTCCATACATGTATCACCCTCTGCATGAAAAAGTTGCTCCTTAGGTCCTTTTTAAATCTTTCCCTTCTCACCTTAAATCTACGCCCTCTAATTTTGGACTCCCCTCCCTGAGAAAAAGACTGGCAATTCACCCTATCCATGCCCCTCATGATTTTACAAACCTCTATAAGGTCATCCCTGTTGCCATCCAGGTTGATTGGGTTGTTAAGAAGGCGTACGGTGTCTAAGGTTTTATTGGTAGAGGGATTGAGTTTCAGAGCCATGAGGTCATGTTGCAGCTGTACAAAACTCCGGTGCGGCCGCACTTGGAGTATTGTGTACAGTTCTGGTCACCGCATTAAAGGAAGGATGTGGAAGCATTGGAAAGGGTGCAGAGGAGATTTACCAGGATGTTGCCTGGTATGGAGGGAAGGTCTTATGAGGAAAGGCTGAGAGACTTGAGGCTGTTTTCGTTAGAGAGAAGAAGGTTAAGAGGTGACTTAATAGAGACATACAAGATGATCAGAGGATTAGATAGGGTGGACAGTGAGAGCCTTTTTCCTCGGATGGTGATGGCTAGCACGAGGGGACATAGCTTTAAATTGAGGGGTGATAGATATAGGACAGATGTCAGAGGTAGGTTCTTTACTCAGAGAGTAGTAAGGGCGTGGAATGCCCTGCCTGCAACAGTAGTAGACTCGCCAACTTTAAGGGCATTTAAATGGTCATTGGATAAACATATGGATGATAATGGAATAGTGTAGGTTAGATGGGCTTCAGATTGGCGCAACATTGAGGGCCGAAGGGCCTGTACTGCGCTGTAATGTTCTATGTTCTATACCAAACACCTTCTTCACTATTCTGTCTACCTGCGACACCACCTTCAAGGAACTATGAATCGGCACTCCAACACTCCCTAGGACCTTACCATTAAGTGTATAAGCCCTGCCCTGATTTGCCCAATTAAAATGCAACACCTCACATTAATCAAAATTAAACTCCATCTGCCACTCCTTAGCCCATCCACCCATCTGATCGATGTCACCCTTCACTGTCCAGTACATGACTAATTTAAAACAGCAGAAACAGTAATTGCTTTAATCAACTAAGAATACTAAAAATATTTTTCAAAATCAAGAAAATAATCAACAACTAATAGAGCCTATCAACAATTAAACAATGCAACAAGATTCATCAATACCAATCTTTCTGCCATAAAAAAAAACTCAGCGTTCGCAACCATTTGTTACATCAGCAAATTGACAAGTTTGGAAAACACAATTCCTAAGATTTCAAAGGGCTTCTGGAACAGATGCCCAAATCAAATACAGCTTCCCAATTAATGGAAAGAACATCAGATCATGTTTTATATGGACAACAAATCAATGAGAAACAAATTACACTTGACAACCACACAAAAGCTTTTAATCAATATTTCACTTCCAGAACAAAGAAGATACTGGTGAGATCATACATCAACAACTTTTTGATTTGATTTGATTTATTATTCCTATGACATGTACCTAGGTACAATGAAAAGTTTAGGTTGGCGTGTGGTACAGGCAGGTTATAACATACAAAGATCATAGAGTGATTGAACAGAGCGAGGAATACAAAGTTACAGCTAGTTGGAACAGTTACTGAATGGAGTTACTGAATACTAGATGGAACAGTTACTGAATGTCTTCATTCAAAATGTTTCTACTCTAGACTTAGCAGCCTAAATAACCCTGGACACAGAGTCCAGAAAATTGTTTTAAAAGCATTATACAGTAAAGGTTCCATTCAATGCAGTATATTCTACAGAATATATTTACTAAAGCAGAATAAACCATCTGACCAGAGGAGACAGACTTCTCATCTGAGCAACATACTGCATTTCCTAACATCTATATGCAATCCTAAGCAATATGCCACATATTTTGTGACGGGTATGGTTCCAAAACTCCACAGAGGCAAAACTGTCTAGTCTTCTGCCAGCAATCATCACTACTCATTGTTGCAAGAAGTCACTTCTTGAAGAAATGCTACAAGCTGAACAACATATCAAATAACAAAGCAAATCATTTCTAACCCAACATGTACGTTCAGACCACGGAACAAAATCTTGAAAAACATGTCAATACTGGAAGGGAACATGAAGAACAGCTACTTTGGAAAAACCTATATTACTCTATCACAGGAGAAATGAAGCAGTCATATTGTATAGATTTATTTAGAAATCATCTCTGTAAATGTGAATCCAACTAAATATAAACTAGATATTGGTACCAGCGTCACAGTTATCTTGGATTATATTCCATGGTTCATCTGATATGAAGCTGTGCATAGATTAAAGATACAGGAACTTACAATGTAAAAAGTGTCTTCCGGTACCAGTATCCCAAATTGTTGTACTAGATTATGAAATAACTGTGAAATCACTTTGAAAGCTAATCAAACTCGTACATGTCTCCACTTTGGATTGACTGCTTCATTTCTTCCTAGGGGAACTAAGAATAGTACCCAATACTAATAATGGAGCACAAATATAATCACCTTGTAATTCTCATTCACACCTGCAGTTATATCATCACAAATTCAGTTGGCCATATCTAAAAGAAGTCAGCAGGGAAGATGTAAAATTAGCAACTTTACCTCAAGTGTCTCTATACATGGTTATGTAATTTCCTGATCAAGTCAAAGATTTTACAATGGTAGGAGAGGTAAAGAAAAGGTGTACAACAAATGTTGTAAAAAGAAGTAATCTAAATAACTAATTTGTGTATGTAATTACTGATCAATTTTTGTGATCGGGAAAAAGATTTAGGGAGGGTTATTGTGAAAGGGTAAAGGACCCTGGAGCAACTATGCAATGAAGTCACAGAGCTGTACATCACTGAGCGTAGCATAAGTGCATAAGGGTTATGGTTAGGGTCAGACTGTTACTGTACTACTATCTAAAATGGGAAAGAGTCTTAAGAGCACATTGGTCAAGAACACACAAAGAAGAAAGAGTAGTCCTTATCTAATGTAACCATAGGATCAGAGCCCGGGTGTATCTGTGATTACCATATATAACAATGTTTAATGTTGATGCATAATAAATAGTATTAAGTCTAAGTCTGAAGACAGTCATAGACTTTGCCTTCCCCTTGACCAATTTGTCTTGAAACCAAACCCAGTGTGACATCAAAACACATTATAATAAAGTCCCAGATAACAAGGTGTAGAGCTGGATGAACACAGCAGGCCAAGCAGCATCAGAGGAGCAGGAAGGCTGATGTTTGCGCCAAACCTTTCTTCAGAAAATGAAGGGTCTAGGCCCGAAACGTCAGCCTTCCTGCTCCTCTGATGCTGCTTGGCCTGCTGTGTTCATCCAGCTCTACACCTTGTTATCTCAGATTCTCCAGCATCTGCAGTTCCTGCTATCTCTATAATAAAGTCCCAGTCTGCACTTGTCTCCTGCAATTAAGACTGGAGTGAGTAGGGTAATTTCCCACTTCATGCACCTGACTTGAGGGCAAAAATCCAGGCCAAGGTTACCATTTTATGAGGGTAATCGCAAAGAAAGCCATGATTTATGAGTTTTAAAAATTGGAGTTCAACGACTACAAACTAAAGCATACATTTACATTTTAGTAATACTGTGTTACTTTAGTAACAATTTTGACAGCAAAGAAAAGGCCTTGTTTCAGACAGACTGACTGCCTTTGACTAATGTTGGACAAGGATAGCAACTATATAACACATTGCAGAGAGGTTGAGAACAAGGAAGGTTAATAGATTGAAGCATGTCACTCATTTCTTTGCACCGGGCTGCTTTGGTATTGTTAGAAAGATAGGAAGATTTAGTAGTCTTAGGCATGGAGTTAAGTCTTATCTCCCAGACAATGAAGGGAAATTGGAAAAATTAGTAAACATTTGAACAGTAAACGAACTAAGGGTAATGGTGATTGGGCAGGTAAGTGGAGCTGAGTCCATGAAAAGATCAGCCATGATATTATTGAATAGCAGAGCAGGCTCGACAGGCCAGATGGTCTACTCCTGCTCCTATTTCTTATGATAGGTCTTTCTGAAGGAATGATGTTAATGGTTTGAACAGACTATGCCTGAGGAATGAGTTGTAGATATTCTTAGCTTATATGGGATCAGGAAGGGAAATTGAGTTGAGAGGAAAGGTGGATATTATGAGTGATATTAAACAGGGGATTTGAAAATTTGTAAAAATACAGGAATCTTGACAAAGTTGGATTCGGGGGAGACTAGTGTCAGAATATGATAGGAAGCCATGACGGCAGCTGCACAGATTATTTTGATGTTTGGAACAAAGAAATCAATGAATTTGCCAAAGAATAAGATTGAGAAATGACTTGGCTAGTGAAGTTGAGATTTAGGATGAAATGTCTATATAATCTTTACTGTTCAGTCTGTTTACATAGATATAATTATGAAAGAATGTTAGAGAAATTCAGAAAGAAACAGTTCCAAATGCATCAGGCATGAAGTTTTTCTCATAACTAACGGATTAACTGAAATGTTGCAAATCAAGTTTATACTGTAGCAGTGATCTGTTTATCTTTTTATACGAAAGCAGAAAATAAAGATGTCAGTGATGTGAAAAATTCTGTAGAAACACTGTTGAGGGATTTTGGGATTCAGTCATGTTCAGCATTTTCTGGGATAATTAGAATGCTCAGTCAGTAAGTACAAAAATACATTTTGAATTTGGTGTAAAATGAAGGGAACAAAAATAACATCTAGATTTGATTTGGAATCCATATGGCTGCTAACAACTCAGCACAAATTGGCCCAAATTCTGAAAATGTTTGAAAGAATTTCATCATCAAGACACATTTGAATTATAAATAACTATTATTATTCACATTATTGACTTTTATTTAAAATTATTTTCAACCATAATAGTTGCTAATATTTTTAAAGGATCCTGGTATTGACTGCATTTACTGAAAATATTGATTTATTTCAGCAAGAGAATCTTACATTCTTTTATTTTTACACAAATACAAAATTTCCTTTAAATAAAATTAACAAGTGTAATCATATAAAATGCTTCTACAAAAATAATCCATTTAACTGGAATACTAAAACACCCTCCTTAAAGTACAAAAAAGAACAAGACATGTAGAACACTGAATAAAATTGGACCATGACACCATTGGAACAGAAATGGAACACATTTGGATTGCCAGAATAACATGAACTGCACATCTGCAAAATAACAGTATTGTCATCTGATTAAGAACACTTGATGACACAAATGTTTTTCATCAAGTAAAATCTGTACTTGAATTTACACTTCTCACTAGAATTATGTGGAAAAATTCAACAGTAAGTAGCAAATACGTTCTGTACACAAGGTGAGGAATGTTGATTCGAGGGAGCCGACTAGTGCTGTCATCAAACACGCTTGGGGCCAGATTTAGCAATATCCAATTTAATGGTGAGTAAAGCTCTTTCTACTCAATCCTAATGAAAAGCCTCAGCCACAACCTCAGATCAGCACCCCTGCTGTACCAATGTATCAATTTTTTCCATTATCAACAACTGAGCAAAACTACCAATTAGCATCAAGTTCAGGGCATTATATGGTATAGACCTATGCTTAGTAGAACTAAAATAATTGTTTTCAAACTCATTGCATCTGGCCCAGTAAAAAGGATATATTCATCTCACATGTTTGGAATGGATTTGAATCTGAACTTACAAGTTGGAATCTAATTAAAATACCTTATATCAAATTGGCTTATAATGGCTATAATGCAAGTTTGTTAGGGGGCAAAAAATTAGTTAAAGGAAAATGAACAAGTTAAACAAATAAATTCCTTTTGACGTGTAATGGAGAGACAAATGCAAAAACTAATTTCTGCCTAACACCAAACAACATAAATGGCCAATCAGATCATTTTTAGTGATGTTTGTATGGGAAGAATAGCCAGTACATCAGAAGCATCCCTGGTCTCACTGTCCAATGGTGCCATGGGACCTTCAAAACATTTATTTGAACAATCATATGTGGTTTCATTTTTACGTTTCATTCAAAAGACTGCAACACTGATACTGATCAGTACTAAGTTCATGTTCTGGAATGAGGCTTGAGTGCACAATCTTTTAGAAGTTTCATTTGTTCATCAACAAAGTGGCATTCTGTTTGCACGGTCATAACACAGACCATCTAATTAAATGAAAATTAAAATTAGGAAGTTTCAAGAATGGATGGGTAATCTATTCTACTGGGGTAGATCCCAAGCAGTGCAAATTTAAAAAAAAACCCTCTAAAGTGAGGGAAATATTCTATCAATTAAGCCATGTTAACTTTATTATCGCATGTAATGGTTCTTGGATTCAACCTGGTGCAGATGACACAATTTCAAGTAGTAGAGTGCTTGGGGTATTAAGTTCAGCACTGGCATTTTTAAAACACAAGATGTTGAGAAGTTATGCTGAGTGACCATTAAACAGAGCTTCTGAAATGCATTAACCCATCCACTAATCTACTCATTATTCACAGACATTTAAGCATAATCTAAGGTGATTGTTAAAATGAAATTCTGCACTTTTAAAGTTAATCAAGCTGTTTCAGGTTCTGTTTTTCTTTAAATGATGAAAAGCTACAGAGGGATTCTTTTATTGTGCAAATTATATTATTTTCAATTTCCCCAAAGAAACAACAACTTGTTTAGCATCTTTAATATACTAAAATGCCTCCATGCCTTTCACAGCAGGATTATAAACAAATTTGAAATTGATTCCAAGAAATCTTAGGCCAGGGAGTGGTTTTAAGCAGGGAAGACAGGAGGAGAGGCTTAGCGAGAAAATTCCACAATGAACGTTTTGGGAGCTGAAGGTACACTCATCAATGGTGAAGCATTTGAAATTGGAGATGCTCATAAGTCCAGACTTGCAGGAATGCAGATATTACAGAGAGTTATAGGCTGCAGGATGATTCAGAAAAAGGAAGCAAGTAGGCCAGGGGAGATTTGAAAACCAACACCAGAAATTAACACATTGCTTAGCTAATGTAGATCAACAAGCACTGGGATGATTGGTGGCTAGGATGTGGCACAAGTTAGGTCATGGTCTTCTGCATTTTGGATAACCTCAACTTTATGAGTGTAGAACATGAGGCTGGTCAAGAGTGCATTGGAATAGTTAAGTCTAGAGGTAACAAAATACATGGGTGTCAGTTGCAGATGAGATGAGGTATTGTTATTAGGGTAGAAATGAGTGGTCTTTGGTGGCCCAGTTCAGTTTAGTAAGTAACCATCATGTGCTATAGTTTTACTCCAACTGTGTTTTCCATAGTTCACTCCAAGTAATATTTGTGCATTCTAGTCTTTAATTCAGAGATATGTGTAGTATACTGCAGTTTTCTGATAATTCAATATGAAAATGTTAGAAGCAGAACTGCAAGACTAGATTTTTTCCCCTTTAGTCTTTACAGATTGGAGAACTGATCATCTCTGTTCAGTTAACTGGAGGAATATACTGTTGGATGTGGGTGTTTCTCAACAGAATTCATTTGGAACAATACCACTTTCTATTGCAAGCCCACATCCTTAAACCAGATTTTCCCAGCTAAATCAGGAATTAGCTCATTTGGTTCCAGTGTAAGAATATTGCAAAATTCATAACAAGCAAATTTTATGCTACTTATTGAAGTCCACTGATTTCCTGTTTATTTCAGTAGAATCTGTAGGGATAGAGTTTACGCTGTTACTGAAACTCGGGCGTCTCATGGACACTTGTGTTGCAGTAATCTGCCGCAGCTCTTTGCGGGATAATCTTACAGGAGTAATGACATGAAGCTGTGATGTCTTCTCAATTAACCGAGAAGGCTTGAAAGATGAAGTGAGGGCGTTTGATAGCTGTGCTTCATCTGTCGTTTCTGAACTGAATGAATACTCTTGCTCATGTGTCATTTTTGTGGAGACATTTGCCATTTCAGAAATTTCTTCCAATGATTTCTGATTTTTGTGTATTCCAGGTATGGCTGGAGGACTGGTATTTTCTTCTTCATCATTTTTAGATGGTCTTGAAGCCCATTTTTGTTCCTTTATATAAACTTCTGCTCCTCCTGAGCTTAACACTGTATTACCAGTACCATTATCTGCAATTAAATTCATTTTTAAATATTAAATTTTCTTGAAACAGAGTATAAACATTGAGACAAATTCTATGCTTCTGGTGCAAGTCATGGCTAAAAGAATGAGTGCTAAATTTGTCTGAACAATGTCTTAATAACACTCAAATTAACTGGTCATTTTATTTGTGTTATTAATACACAGTTCCAGGTGAAGAGCTTGGGATTATATGAGCATTGTCCAGGGAGCAGAGAAACTTTAGATGCACGAGATGATGTAAAGGGATGGGGAAAAATAATGGGTAGTGTCAAAACTACTCAGGAAGCCTCAAGCAATTAACCAAGAAGCCTCAACACATTAACCATTAACTTTGCCAAAACAGAAGATTAAAAAGTGATGGACGGAAGTGAGGGCAAATGAAACAATATTCAGGTTTGGATTACTAGATTGGAAGAAACATTCATGCCACAGAAATGCCAGGCAATAACAATCTCTAACAAAAGAGTCTAATCTCTCCACCTTGTCATTCAATGGCATTACAATCACTGAATCACTCAACATCAACATCCTGGAGATATTAGTGGAAGTACAGTCTTGTTAGATGAGAAGATAAAAGTTTTTTTCAAAAAGAAATGGTGTAGATTTAAGGACTTTTGAGCACAACACTTGCTCCCAATTATGGAGGCCATAGTGGCAGCTCTTGCCGTTGCAGCATGAGAGGGCAATGTAGCAGAGGCAGAAAAGAGGGAAAATTGTTTGCGATGAGAGTAGGAGCAGGAAGACTTTCTGCATGTCTTACTGACCTAAGACCTTCAGAGATCATTTCTTTTGCTTGCATCTCAGCCAGAAGCAAGTATTTGATGGTTACATTTCATCAAAGTGTCACAGAACAGTGCCTTCTCCTTTAACTGAATCTTATTTATTGTTTATGGGATGTAGGTGTTATTGATGAGGCCAGCATTTATGCCCATCACGAATTGCCCTGGAGAAAATGATGGACAGCCGTGTTCTTAAACTGCTACAGTCCTTTCGGAGTAGGGATGTCAACACAGTGCTATTGGGAATGGAGTTCCAAGATTTTTGACCCAGCAATATTGATGGAATGTGATATAGTTCCAAGTCGGGATGGCGTGTGGCACAGAGAGGAACTTGCAGGTTGAAGTGTTCCCCTGCCCTGTTCCTGCTAGGTACAGAGGTTTAGGTTTTGGAAGGTGCTGTTGATAGAGTCATTCTAAGTTGCTGCAGTGCATCTTGTAGGTGCTATACGCTGTTGCTACTGTATATCAGTGGTGAGGCAAATGCATGTTCAAGGTTGCCAATGAAGCAGGATACTTTGTCATAGATGGAGTCAAGCTTCTTAAGTGTTGTTGAAACAGCAACTTTTCAGAGAAGTGGAGAATACTCTAAGATGGTAGACCAGAATTGGGAAGAAAGAAGGTGACTTATTTGCTTTAGAATTCTTAACTCTGACCTGCTTTTATAGTCTCAGTATCAATGGTCCAGTTTAGTTGCTGGTCAACAATAACCCAGAGGACGCAGATAGTGGAGGAAATGAGTGATGGTAGTATCATTAAATGTCAAGACGTAAAGGTTACATTCCCTCTTGTTGGAGAACATCATTGATTGACACTTATGTGGCATGAATGTTACTTGCCCAGACCTGGTTGTCACAGAGTCATACAGCACGGAAACAGACCCTTCAATCCAACACATCCATGCTGACCAGTCATTCCAATTTGTCCTAGCCCCATTTGCAGGCATTTGACCCATATCTCTCTAAACTATTCTTATTCACATATCCATCCAGATGCCTTTTAAATTTTGTAATTATTTCTGTCTCCACCACTTCCTCTGGCAGCTTATTCAATACAATCACGGGCCTCTCTGTGAAAATGTTACTCCTCAGGTACTTTTTAAATCATTTCCCTCTCACCTTAAGCCTATGACCTCTAGTTTTGGAGACTCACATCCTAGGAAAAAGGCATTGGCTATTCACCCTACCCATGCCCCTCATGATTTTATGAGCCTCTATAAGGTTACCCCTCAACATCCAATGCTCCAGCAAAATAGCCCCAGCCTATTCAGTCTCTCCCTACAACTCAAACCTCTGTTCCTGGCAACATCCTTGTAAATCTTTTCTGAACCCTCTCAAGTTTACTAACATCCTTCCTAGAGAAGGGCGATCAGAATTGTACGCAGTATTCTAAAAGTGGCCTCACCAATGTTCTGTACAGCCGCAACATGATGTTACAACTCCTATACTCAATGTACTGACCAATGAAGGTAAATGTGCCAATGCCTTTATCATCACCCTGTCTACCAGTGACTCCACATTCAAGGAACTATGCACCTGCGTGTCGGTCTCTTTGTTCACAACACTCCCCAGACCCTACCATTAACAGTACAAGTCCTGCCCTGGTTTCCCTTACCAAAATACAACATTTCACATTTAGATAAATTAAACTCCATCTGCCACTCCTCATCCCATTGTACTCTGAGATAATCTTCTTCACTGTCCATTCCACCACCTATTTTGGGGTCATCTGCAAACTTACTAACCATGCCTCCCTTCTTAACATGCAAATCATTTATATAAATGACGAAAAGCAGTGGACCCAGCACTGTTCCTTGTGGCACACCACTGGTCACAGGCCTCTAATCCATAAAGCAACCCTTACCACCATCCTCTGTCTTTTATCTTTAAAGCAATCTTGTAACCAATTGGCTAGCTTCCTCTGGATCCCATGTGATCTAACCTTACTAACCAGTCTACAATGCAGAACCTTGTCAAATGCTTTGCTGAAGTCCATATAGACAATGTCTACCGCTCTGCCCACAATCTTCTTTGTCATCTCTTCAAAAATCTCAATCAAGTCAGTGAGACACAATTTCACATGCGTAGGGCCACTTTGACTATCCCTAATCAGTTCTTGCCTTTCCAAATGCGTGTAAATCCTGTCCCTCAGAATCCCTCCAACAACCTATCCACACTGATGTAAGACTCACCAGTCTATAGTTCCCTGGCTTTTCCATACAGCCTTTCTTAAATCATGGCACCACCTTACCTAACCTCCAGTCTTCTGACACCTCGCCCGTGGCTCTCCATGAAACAAATATCTCAGCAAGGGGCCTGCAATATCTTCCCTAGCTTCCCACAAAGTTCTGGGAAATACCTGATTAGGTCCCAGGGATTTATCTATCTTCATGCGTTTTAAGACCTCCAGCACCTCCTCTTCTGTAATATGAGTTCTTTTCAAGACATCATTATTTATTTCTCCAAGTTCCCTAGCTTCCATGTCCTTCTCCGCAGTAAATACTGACGTAAAATATTCATTTAGTATCTCACCCATCTCCTGTGGTTCCACACGTAGACAGTCATGTTGATCCTTAAGAGCCCCTACGCTCTCCCTAGTTACCTTTTTGACCTTAATGTATTTGTAGAATCTCTTTGAATTCTCCTTAACCCTATTTGCCAAAGCTATCTAATGATCCCTTTTTGCCCTCCTGATTTCCTTCTTGAATACACTCTGACTGCCCTTATACTCCTCCAGGGATTCACTCGGTCCCAGCGGTCTATACCTGACATGTGCCTCTTTCTTTTTCTTGGCGAAAGCCTCAATATCTCTAGTCATCCAGCATTCCCTACACCTACCAGCCTTGTCCTTCACACTAACAGGAACATACTGTCTCTGAACTCATGTTATCTCATTTCTAGTGACCCTCTGCTTCCCAACCATTCCTTTACTTGCTAGTTGCCTCCCCCAATCAACTTTTGAAAGTTCCTGCCTATTACCATAAAAATTACCCTTACTCCAATTTAGAACTTAAACTTTTTGATTAGTTCTATCCTTTTTCATAACTATTTTAAAACTAATAGAATTATGATCACTTGCTCCAAAGTGCTCCCCCACTGACACCTCAATCATTTGCCCTACCTATTTCCCAACAGAAGGTCAAGTATTGCTCTTTCTCTAGTAGGTACATCCACATTTTGAATAGGAAAGTTTTCTTGTACACACTTATCAAATTCCTCCCCATCCAAGCCCTTAACACTGTGGCAGTTTCAGTCTATGTTTGCAAAGTTAAAATCCCCTACCATTATAACCATTATCTTCTTGCACATTTTGGAGATCTCCTTACATGTCTGTTCTCAATATCCTGCTGACTATTGGGGACCTATAATACAATCTCAACAATGGGCTCATCCCTTTCTTATTTCTCAATTCCACCCATATAGCTTAACTGGATGATCTCCCAGAAATAACTTCTCCAGGTACAGTTGTATTGTTATCTCTTACCAAAAATGCCACTTTCCCTCCTCTCTTGCTCCCCTTTCTATCCTTCCAAAGCATCTATACCTTGGAACATCAAACTGCCAGTACTGTCCATCCCTGAGACACGATTCTGTGATATCTATGTCCCAGGTTCCCAATTGTGCCCTAAGTTCATCTGCCTGACCTGTCAGGCCTCTTGCAATGAAGTAAATGCAGTTTAATTTATCAGTCAGACCTCGTTCTCTGCCAAGGTCTTGTCTGCCTTGACTATTTCACTTGCTCCCCTTATCTATTGTACCAGTCTCAGCCTTTCTTCTGACTATCACTTTGGATCCCCCCTCCCTAGTTTAAAGCCTCGGAGGCAGCACTAGCAAATCTCACGCAAGGACATTGGTCCCCTTCCAATTCAGATCGAAGCCATCCCTCTTACACAGGTCATTTCTACCCCTGAAAAGATCCCAATGGTCCGAAAATGTGAATCCTTGTCCCCTGCACAGCTGCTCAGTTCTGCATTCATCTGCTCTATCCTCCTATTCCTACTCTCACTAGCTTGTGGCACCAGTAGTAGTCCAGATATCATTACCCTCAACAACCTACTTTTTAAACCTCTTGCATAGTTTCCTATATTCTCTCTGCAGAACCTCATCCCTTTCCCTACCTATGTCATTGGTACCAACATGCACAACCACCTCCTGCTGATCATTCTCCCCTTTCAGAATATTCTGCACCCTCTCTGAGATATCTTTGACCCT